ATTCTTGGAAAAGGAATTCCAGACACAATGTCATGACAGCAAAGATCCTTTCTCCACCACTTAGATTCCAAGGAAAATAAGTAGTCCTCTCCAATGCAGCTACAGTTAAGATACCAAGAAACTGGCTATCTTTCACTTCAATTTGCCTAATATAAAATTGTGAAAAGAACAATGGACAAAAGAATATCTGATATTCCTAGTGTAGACCAAATATATTAGGTACCCCAATATACTGTAGATGTGCATCTTCTATTTGTTCTATAGGGAGCCTACTTTGGATAAAAGTTTCTTCAACACATTTAGGTAACTTTGGTATTTTTTCAGTTTGTGAGTAGAGGTAGACCTCAACTTACAACCACAACTGAGACCAACATTTCTAAGCAAAATGATTAAGTGACTTGTGCCCCCTTCTATGACCTTTTTGCCACAGTTGTTAAATGAATTATTGCAATTGTTAAGAGAATCAAGCAGTTGTTAAGTGAATCTTATTTCCCTCATTGACTTTGTTGAAAGCCAACTGAGAAGTTTACAGTGGTCATATGACCCAGGACAGTGCAACTGTCTTAAATACATGCCGGTTGCCAAGCACTTGAATTTTGATCTTGTGACCATAAGGATGCTGCAAGGGTCATACGTGTGGGGAAAAAAATCAGTGACATTGTAACTTTGAACAATCACTAAATGAATGGTTGTAACTCAAGGATTACATGTAAGGTGTTCATTGGATTTTTTAAAAATCAGAAAATGATTAATGTAGTTAACCAGTGTCATAATACAAATTTTATGAATCTATATTAATGGTTAATCTACAACACCGAACATACTGTATAAATAAATACTAAATAATATGAACTAAATACTAGTCCATAATTATAATTAGTGATTAATAAAAATACTTAAGAAGACTTTCTTAAAAAAAAAAATCATGAACACAAAAAATTATATTCTGAATGAAAAACTGAATGAGAACTGAATGTTTATTAGTTAGCAACATAAGCAGCATGAATATGAAATCAAATTTGCTCCTTACTTTGCATCCTTTTCTCTATATGCTAATATTCATGAGTCTGGTGACTAAACGTCCTTTTTCTTTTTACACCTTCCCTGCAATTGTGTAACTTCAAATATCTGTATCTCTCCCGATGTTTTACCAGGCTCCCCAGCTGAATGTGCCAAACCATTCTTCATTGTTAACTATCATCTTGGCATGCAACCCCAATCTAATACAATATCTACTGCTATATTTCTGCAATATACTTCAATATATACTTCAAGGATACTTCCAGACAGGAAACCCTAGTATTACCAGAGAAAAGGCACCTTGTAGCCATTCGGTCTTTTCTCTTTATCAGATTTTCCCAAATTTAAAAATAAATAGGGGAAAAATGGTTGAATGGCTATGTTCTTAGAATTGTTTAACTGGATTGTAAGGAAGATTAAAAGATAATTTAAGAATGGGGGTTGTGTGAGGTTAAACTAGGCTCCCCTTAATCAACCATGCTATAAGATAAAATAATTAACTACTGTCAGCACAGAAACAAACTTGAAAATGAAACCCAAAATCAATCAATCTAGAAATTTTCTCTTTCTGTTCTTTTCACTTTCCCCCACTTCCCTTTAGTATATGAGGGACAGGATACAAAATAGAGGATGAAACCTTTCTTTAAAGTCAGTACTTCCCAAACTTTTTCCTCCATTACCCAAAAATATTTATTTAGAAAGTCTTTTTTACTGCTTACTGAGTCTTATTTAAATGTCCCTTTTATGATTGGGTAATGAGTACCTGTATCATTACAGAAAGAAAAAAGAACATTTTTATCTATTTTGGGTTAATTTTGGGAAACACTTTTTGAAGTAGTGCCAGATCATTGCCATTTTTCAAAACAAAACAACAGGAAGAGATAGTGTCAAACACAGTCACTTCCTGTTTAACTAGTGTATCCCAAATAGTAGGACACTGGTAGAGAGTATGCCCTTATACTTGGATATTAATAGAATGTATCAGCTATATTGTTCAAGCATAGCCAACGGGTTCTTTGAATCCCAGTTGTATTCCAAATTGGCTTTATTTTACAAAATCACAATGCTTATTATTTGTAATATATTTTGAAAGAGGGAATACTGTTGGATTCTTTGAATGCTTTGGATCCTTTCCATTATTTATTATAAAAATTCAGATTTTTATTTAGACATATATTTCTTTTTTCTCTCTTCCTCTCTTCCATAACTTGCTGGGATAACATTCCCCAAGTTTTTGTAAACTGTATCTCTGAAATATAATTTCAGAAAGAGGTATTACTTAATCATTAGCTACAATAATTTTTGAAAAGAACATTTTCTTTTACAGGATTCGTTACACCCACAATAACATATTGGTTCTATGATTCCACACTAAAAATATTGTATATGAGGCCTAAGCTTCTGTGGCAAAGACAAAAAATGTTCCAAATAGCTGTAGTTCAGTCACTTATCAAGGAAAAGAGCTCTTTAAATAAAATATTAAAGAACAACAGCTGTATGTTGAAAAAATATGTTTATACAGATTTAGAAGCTAAAACATATAAAGATTTATTTAATGACAGTATTATAAGATCTACAAATGTAACTGCTTATCTTTTGGATCAACTTCAAAATATGCTATTGTATACATTTTGTCTACATTTATTATATTTGGCTTTATAGAGAGTGAAATAGAACAATATCTATATACACACATAGAAGCATGATCCAAGAGGATGAAATACTTTTTCAAATTAAAAACAACATAAAAAATAAAGGCATATACTCATGTATTCTGCTGTAACTTTTACTGATACTTTCAAGGTCAGCTTGAAAAACATAATCATGTTGATTAAAAGGGACATTTGTTTTACTAGATACAGACATCTTATCATTCTGGTAGCAGAAATGAAGTATTGAAAATATGCTGTTAGTTTATTTAATTGCCATACATATGAAATTTCCAATGTGGCAGTGCCCCAAAAATTCATTAAGTGAATTGTAGTACAAGTTGAAATTTCTACCTTTGCTTTACTACTCTAGTCTTATAATGGTCTGAGCTTCAAGAAAGAAATTATGGTGCACTATTTTGTAAAGCTGAATTTCACATTCAAACTTATATTGTGTACCATTAATGCCCAAAGTATTTAAAATCTATATATCAGAACAGAACTATGCATTTTATGAACAAACCTAAACAATCTTCCCACATTCTTTCCTTGGAAAAATGTTGAAAGGAGAAATGAAATGAAAGTACATCAAACTGTTTTCACATAAACACTTAATCATTTCCTGTTTGACAACTGCTCCACACTGGTCTCCTTGTTTCCCTCTCATGTTCAGACAATACTTCCTAGCTTCTACCATTATCAAACAAAAGGTACTTTAGAATTCTTTAACATTCCTCTTTACAAATTTTTTGACGAAAGAAAAAAATGAAGGGGAAAATGCAGGAAGACTACAAAAAGAAGACAGTGATATCTACCCCCCACCCCACCCCCAATAAGCTCCTGGTTATAGTCAGGGCAGTGGTAGAATAACAGCTTCATCTGAAAAAATACATAATTCCATGCACATTTAAATTATTGCATCCATATACTTGAAAATCTAGGAGATAAAAAGAAAGCAATCTTACCAGAGTTACTTTTCTTAGCAAAGCAGCTATTACATATTAATATATTATGTATAATTTGCTCACAGGACTCAAAATATTTCATATTACTATTACATTATTATATATACTGCTTTCCTCGCAATGGGCAATAATAATAAAGCAATTGTATAATAATTACGGAAAACATTCAATCATGACAAAACATGAAATAATAAGTTCACAAGGCCAAATTAAGTTCCAAAATCAGTGAACTGAGAAACTCATGATACTAAAATGAGAGGATTTCAGCCATTTAACTTTTTTTCTAATTTTCAGGTTCTATGGAATTAATTCATGAATGCGCGTATGGGTATTATGGTGCTTATATGCACCATAATGATAATACCATCTGAAAACTAACAAATATGATTCTCATTATTGTCTATGTAGCAAACAACGTTACTGGCTGCCCAAAATGCTTCATAATTAAAAAGGTACTGCTGAGAAAGTAATCACAAAAAATTTATAGTTCATGCATTCTTGCGATATTGTTTTAAAAAACCAAAGTTAAATATGCTTCTGTGCATAGTCAGAACTAAAAGTAGTAGAAGTAAATTACAGGATGTAATTTTCCTGCTTGTTTGTTTACTTCCACCTTAAATATACTCATGCAGCCTACTTTTCATCAAGCAGAAAAAAGGAGACATTTTGTCTTTAAAGCAAAAGTTGATTTTGAACTTTAATGGACCAGAGGAAAAAGTATTAGGAATTATTAAATCTAACCAACATAATGTGATGAATAATAATCTAGTTTGAATTTTAGGAAATAAATAGCCATAATGTTTTTCTTAAAATTTATTCATTTGGCAGGAAACTATTACAAAATTAATAGATCAATAAATTTCAAATGACAAAAAAATCAACTGTATACCCTAAGTAGATAATGATAAGGTCACCACAGTCTGATTCTCTAGTTGTATTAAGAATTTAACAGATTAAGTTCAAAAAGTATTTCTGGGATCATTGTTTTTCTATCAGTTTCTAAAGGAAGATGAAAGAAAGAAATCTAAGCAATCTCTTCCATCTTTCCTCAATCATTTGGATCCAGTTTCTATAGCATAAAAATACACGTTTTATTTTAGGATAAGAAGGCACTATATCATAGTCTTGTGAAATGTTCGACAATAGTTGGGGTTTTTAATGCATTGTTCCAATTTTGCAAAGTGGAGTGAGGAAATGGAATAAAATTGCTGAGAAGTGTCCTCTTCCTTTACTTTCCATTTGTTTCATTTCATTTAAAGTGAAAAACCTGATGAGAGAGATTGTCTTTTTGAGGTTCTTTTTAAAGAGCCTTTTTTAACAGAATAATGGAATAAAATGCTTCAGTTAAATAAATAAAATATGATACCTGTGTGCGATTGAAAGCCACTCTTGCAAAGACCGCCTGGGAGACACTGGCCCTTTTCAGCTCATCCCTGACTTGCTGGTAGATATCTGGAGATACTTCCACTGATGAATTTGTTGGTTCTGGTTTGATTGTTCTAGGGATAGGTGGATGATTTAGAAACTGTTGGTTAATTGCCTGTGGATGCTGATGAGCCAAGAGCCGACTTACTGCAATCTGTTGGTTTATCAAATGGGCCATTGCTATTTGCTGCCTTACAAGCTGTGGGCTGAGTTGAGGTGTAAGAAGACCAGGGCTCATGATTGGTTGTAACGTTGGCACTTGGTTTCTGATTGGAGTACTGTGATGAATTTGACCATGAGGAGATTGTTCATTTGTTTTGCCCAAAGTTGCCAGCTGGTTGATATTCGGTAAGTGCATGGGACGTTGACCAAGAACACAATATTCTGACAGGTTGTCTCTTTCAACTCGTTCCACTGTTAAAATAAATAATAAATATATACCTTCATCTTAATTTGAAATGATATCAAGGATTGCAAGTGAAAAGATATAGAGTTGCATTAAGTTGTTTTCACTTTAGTGCCAACTCTATAGTGGTACAGTATTCTACACTAAATTAAACTAATAATGTTTATCCTTTGTAAATCTGACATGTAGTAAGGGTTACATGAATTTCAAGAATCCAAGTCCATTACATTGGGTCAGCCTCCAAACCAAGCATCAAACAATTGTGCTAATATTTTATTGTTGCACTGGTAAACTCAAAGATTAAGTCCCCAAATATTTACATTCAATTAGGATTTATTTTATTTATGATGGTGGATTTGAAGTTGGGTTTACTCAATTTTACTCTAATATTTTAACTACTGACACATTGCTTATAAATCTTCAATACTTTCTGAATTTCATTGTGCAGAAACAATCAAAATATTATATTGTATAATTTACATGTCCATTTGCATACGCAAAGACCTTTAGTTCTTCCATTCCATAAACTTACATTGTGTGTTTATGTGTGTGCGTGTGTGTGTAACTATATGCAGAAAAAAGAACGTGGCTGATACTGTCTTGCCTTTTTATTTGTTGTTGTTTATAATATCATCAATTCCCATACCATGTCTTTGTAAACACTTGAAACACTTGAAATCACTTGTATTCTTTCTCCCATGACATATGTGAAGCCAAATCACTGCTGTGTAAACACTATGTCTCTTCAGCAGACCCACAGGGTCAAATTCATATCCCCCAAATGAGTTATGGGATATACGCCCTTTCTTTTTTAGAACTTCAATGCACATTCACTACTTCAGTGTATATTCAACTACTATTTTTAACTGTAAGCCACTCAGAGCATTAAAGAGTCATTAAAGGGAGATTTGAATCAAATAAAAAATAAACAAATATTGTAAGAGACTTTCTTAAATAACCCTTTGTTAGCATATACCATTCAAGTAATTATGTAAATCTTCAATGAATTGTAGATACCCAGTTTTGAAATATTTATCTTATCAATACAATGCGACAGAATATTTTAAATACTTTGGCTTCTTTCAACAGCAAATTCAAGAAGCAAACATTTGCATCTATTTATAAATCTTAACCAATTTAAACTTTTCATTTATTGTTTTGCTTTATTTTATTTCATTTTCGCTTTGCATAGCCTGGTCAACTCAAAACGGGGTATAACAGGACAAAATCATAAATTTTGGTTCTTCTTGCCTTCTCCACCACCAATATATTCTTATTTTTAAAAAATAAAAAGTACCTATTCAAGTGATAGTGGAAGCAACTATACCTAAAGGTTTGAAAAATTCTAAATAAATGTGAAATTGTTTTTGCCAAGCTTCTATACAGACTCAAATCTATATAATCCTATAAGAATAATATTAATATTGTCGTTGCTAAACAATGCAGAATAGCAGTACCAGGAAAAGCATATATACTATATGCTTTACCTGGTACTATAGCTAGTTTTCATCACATTTGGGAAAAACAAAATTACAATACCATTACAAGCCTCTAGAAGGCAATAGATAAAGATACACAGTATAAATTATTTTATTTATTATTAAATTTATATGCCGCCCCTCTCATTGTCAAGCAACTCTCTAATTACCAGTCTTGACTTCCTAGAACTATTCTAGAGCATGGGAGGTGCTTTTCATGTGGGTAATTCATTTAAAAACTGTGATTATCTTAATTACTTATTTCTTTTCATCAAAATTCACTTAACCCAATTTTGAGCAAAGACGTAATTTCAGAAATCTCATTTCCAGTCAACACTTAACTTCATGTTTACCCCAACCAACTATCAGTGTTATTTACTGTCTGGTCTCTGACCAGGAAAACTGTATTTGCTCATCTGTGATTTATGTGTCCAAAAGGGAAGTTCCACTATAGTATTTGGCAGGCATGAAATGCTTCCTAAAATGAATTCCTGCAAATCTGTTGAAAATCTATTTTCAAAATAGTACATATCACTCAACTAATTCTCCAGTAAATCTTATTACCTAGAACTCATATGAAGATTGCTATAACTTCTATACAACTTCATTAATATGAAATCATTTAGAAAGTAGTTGTAATTTTTAAGAACACAAGATCAAGTTCTGAATTAGATCAAAGGCTCACCTTCTCCAGAATTCTATTTCAGAAATGGCTAAGCAGATATCTATAAAAAGCTTACAAATGCAATATGAACATAATAGCCACCCACTAATGGGAACTCAAGAATCAGTTTCCATGACAAATAGAGTTGCCTCATAAAGCACTGATCACCAAAAATTCAGGATTACAGTTAGTTTTTAAGCCTATTAATATTGCCGTGGAGAGCCAGTTTGGTGTAGTGGTTAAGACATCAGGCTAGGATCTGGGAGACTTGAGTTCTAGTTCCACCTACCACTAAATTTGCATCTTCTGCAAACCATGGAAGCAAGTTTTATTGCATTGTCTTTTGAAAGAAATATTGGAAGAATTTATTTTCCCTTCTTTCCATACCCCAAAGAGATGTATAGCATAAGCTGCATTTCACAACATTGAATATAGCCTACGGTATAGAACTTTATAAACAGATCAGAATTAGAACTATTACTGTAGGACTATCAGATCTTTACTTCAAAAAACCAGACAACCACTAAATAGGATCAGTGACAGGAAAAGCTCTTTGCTGTAGTGGTCATCTGGCTTTTTACAGCCCATACCACTTAAGTCCTTATTATTATATGCAATGGGTCTCATTTACATAAGCTTTTAAAGTTATAAAACAGATGTTGAAATTTCAGAAGGGGTTGCTTATAGATTTGGGTTATGTGTGGATGATTACAATGAAATATGCTTTACATTATGCCCATAATAAAGATTTGATTTGATATAGCGTCATCCTTCATTGAAAATCTTGTTATATTGTTTTTTCTTCTTTTCTCTTTCATTAGTTTTCTTTTTTACTTTGTTCTTTTTTTACTAAACAAAGGATACTTTTTGTAACCTATAAAAACAGTTATTCCTGTACAGCACCCAAAGTTACTTTCTGTGAGGGGGGCAGCCATGTAATTTGTTTAATAAATAATAAAAATAAATAAATTATAAAAGGCATCAAAGTGATCTGAACTGATAATATATAAACTTTTCATCATCCACACCTAGCCATTTGAGTGCCTGTCAAGTTACTTAAAATACTATTGTGAATATATCTCAGTGACATACTAAATTTGATCAGCTACAAATTAAAATAAAGCAACACTTTTTCTTGAATATTGTGTATTCTATACATAGTAGAAAAAAAATTATGGCATACACCATGCAAGCAATTTACAGAGCACATATTTATGGGTCTGTATTAATTTCACCCCTCAAAGTGCAGTTTCAATTGGTTTATGGTCAGGCGCAAACAACATGCAGAGTTCAAGGTAATTACTTTATTATGCTCTGCCTATAATAAGGAATCACTCCAGTGTCGCAGCCTACTCTTTGGAACAATTAGATAAAGTTCCAATGAAATTGGTAGTGGGGAGGTTGATCCTATCCCTTTTGTGGGTGCACAGTGACTCCAGGCTAATTCTGCACTTGATCCCTCCTCCCTGCCAGGCTGGATGCTTCCCAGCAATTGTAAAATTGATCTATGTTATGAATGAAAACCTACATGAGTAAGATTGCATTCTTAATTTTTTCTATATACACTCCTCTGCCTTGTATATGGTGCAAATTTTACTATTATTCTTACTATGTTTATTATTAATAATTATTGTAATTATAATTATTATTATAAAGTTCTATGAATTGCTAAGATAAATCTTCCTTATAAATGTATAATATAAAATTTCAAATACAAATTATGAAAGGGAAAAGGAGGACAAAACGATAAGAGGATTACAAGGGAGCAAAAATGATATAGTCTATATGATTTTTTTCTAGTATCAGTTTTAATGGACTGCAATCAATTTTCAGAAGCTTGTATGTCAATAGATGTAGATCTCACCAATATAAAATGCAAGTCTGATTGATATAAAGACAAAAGTTGATATGAGCTAAGCATAATAGCAATGTTGAATATGTAATGGATTCCACAACTATAAGCTGTTTATTTCAAGCGCTCTTTGCATATAACTTTTACATCTGTTGCTAATGATATCAAATTATTGATTGTTCAGTTTCTCATATTTGTTTAAACATTAAATATATGTTCTGCAACCTAATGCTTTTTTTCTTTCAGAAAGTTTTTAAATTTTTTTGCTATGCATTAGTCATATTTACTTTGATCTTTCTGTAAGTATAATTATTTTTACTGTTTGTTTAGTTCAACAAAACAGGAGGGGAAAGGATTGACCAAAGAGAACTGTATGTGGCAACTTGTAACAGAATCTCATAGCTTATGTTTAGGAAATCATGGTTTTGATTAAGAAGGAACCAGTTAGTTCCCACTGCTTTATTAAAAGAGACATTAGTGGATAAATCAGAAACACATTTCACAGAGCAGATTATGTTCAACTGAAATGCCAATAAAATGATTCTGAAGCTCTTCATCATTTTCCATTTGCAATATTAAATTAGAATAGCTTTTTTACAATTAGTTTAATGTAACAAAAATTAAGATATATGTGTGCAACAGTGGTTGCTTCAACTGGATTGACCTTGAATGATGTCTGATCTTGCTGACCAAATTCATAGTAATTTAACCCTTATTTTTAAATTCACAGGAATACACTAAAATAGTTTCTGAAATTGAACCTTTCATCTTACTTATAAAGCAAATTCTCATTTATAAATACTATAAATGAGACAATATAAAACAAAATATAACAAAAACTCTTAAAGATGATGATGATGATGATAAAGTTTGGTTCTGTTTATTTTTCAGTAAGTATACCTATTTTTCATTGCTGTTTTCCTCCCATTTGTTGTACCCGAAGAATCAACACTATATGAACTGTGTTAAAGCAGCCTGTGTTTATTTCACACAGGCTGTAACCTTTCATTGCCCCACATGCATACATATACATGCACACACATTTCCAATGAGTTTTAAACTCAAAATGTTCAAAAAGCAGCATCATACAGTTATCCAGAAAACTCTTTGGGCTTAGATCCTTGACCTCCTAATTCAAATCAAGGTCTTATTCTGCTTTTCTAAACTTAACAATTAACTGTACGCTTATTTTAAAAAAATGATGAGAGATGAGAGAAAAAGAAAAGCTTTAAAAATGAATGAAGAGAGGAAGTAGAAAAGCATAATACCATAGAAATACCTGGTGGTTGCAATAGCAATTCTGGGACTCCAGGAAGAGCTTTTTAATGTTTGAAGGTGCTTTTACACCACAGCCAAATGTAGTAAAAATGCTCTCCCTTTTTGTCTTACAAGTAACAATGATCCGTAAACGGCCTTGAAGCTATTTAGTGCCTTTGATTATATTTTCACTGTACATATATAAAAAGCACTTTTGAAATATTCCTTTCTTTACTTTAAGATACAATACTTATAAAAATTGTTGAAGATCATAGAGAAACTGCTTCAACCAAAGTAGATCTTTATATCTGGGAAAATATTGATGACACTCTATATAAACTAGCCGTTGTAAACACCTCTTGATCGTTTTAGAATAACAGATTTCAAGTATTCACGATCTGTTAAAAGATTTGGCATTGAATGATAATTAAAATCAATTTACCTTTAATTTTCTTGTACTTTTTATACCATCTTCCAAATTCCTGGCACTTAGTAGCTGACACATTTGCATAATACGTGCTATTTACAATGGATGATATCATACTCTGAAACAAGAAAAAAGAGAAATAAACAAATTCTAAATAGAAAATAATCAAAATTCTCCCCGCCCCCCCAAAAAATAGTAATATAGTTGAAAATGTATCATTCATTCATTCTTAAGTGACAAAAATAAACATTAAAAATGTATTCACATACAAAAAATATTGTATAGATCCTACAACTAGCTTCATTTTCCTTTTATATAACTGGAGAAATTTGTTTTCCCTATTAATTTTGTGGCAAATCTATATGACTCCCAGTTGTCACTTTAATTTATATTGGGTATTGTCAAAAGAATCTTTATGCTTCAAGTATGTTAGAAGCTGTGTCACATTGGGGAATACAAAGGGTGAGAAGAACCGTGATTTAGGAACCAGATCCTAAAGGTAAGATTAGATACTTTAGCATGTATAATCCAAATAATGGTTTTCAGATGTTTCTATTCTGCTTCCAACTGCAACAAGGACCACACAGCCAGGAATCTAGGAATATTTGTGCTACTTGCTTCAGAACAACAGCTAAGCAAATATAAATAATATTTATAGAAACATGTTTTTAATCTTTTTGTGAAAATTCACATAGGAAATAAATTGCTATACTATTCCAAGCAGAAGAAACTAAAAATATTACATGTCAAATTAAGCAGGTCTACCTTATATTTAACGGTTGTATTTTTATTTTTAACCCCTGAAAATAGACATTAGTGGCCGAATCTTTTTCTATCTAGCACAGACTTTGAATTAAATGTCATAGGATATGCTATGATAAATATAGCTCTTCTTTTTGCTGCTGCATTGCTCTGATTCAGTGTATTTTTTTATTAATTATACTTTTCCTTATTCTTTATGGAGTCTAGTTTCAGAAGGTAATGTGTGAATTTTGGAGTAGGAAAGAGCATGCTCAAAAAGGCTAACAAAACAAGTAGTTTAAAAGATTTAGTATCACATAAATATGCTATGAAAGTTCTGCAAATGCAGAACTGCAAAAAGCATCTGAGGGATGGGAAATCTCCAACTGTTCTTGCTTCTTTGCTTATTGTCATTTTTATTCATTTTTAATTAAATTTCACAAATCAAGAGAAATAACAGTTAGGGGGTTATTTTGATTTGATTATTTATGTGGTATACTCTATATTGTTTCTTAACCTGCATCTCAGGCAGTTTAAGTAATAGAAGAGCATGAAAATAAATGCCTGATTTCTGTTCTCATGTACCATGGTCCTGATTCATAAAATACTGTAAAAATTAAAAAAAGATATTGAGATTTCCAACCACTTCTCATTTATGTACCCTTAGAACAAGTTGAAATGGCACCCTTAAAAAATTTTTTAATGGGTTTTATCCAGTAGGAAATGAACAGGTTGAGCTAGAGGGAGAGGTCAAACACATCATCAGTCTTAAGTCCCTTTATGCCCACAAGAGCAGCTCACCACTGATTCTTATCTATTTGTTTTACCATTAGTGGTTCAGATTCTTGTAAACAGCTTAAGCTTGCAATAAACCTTTATATTCATTTGAACTGCCTGGATTTCTTGATTTTTTGATGCTCAACACAACTGTGAACACTCTCCCTTCAAACCTCAAGAAAAAAAAATCTTTACTCCATCCTGCACATTACCATCTTCCAAGGAGCATTTCTACAGCCATAGAGTGTGATCACAACAATTTAGTTTATTGTTTCTTTAACTCTCTACCCCAAAATGGTATTTGATGGTGTTTAAGATTCCAAAAACACTGTACCATAATTGTTGCACATTTAGCCAGGGAATCAAACCTATCTAGAGTTAAAAGTGAGAAAGACTAAGTCTTTATGCATAGCAGAGGATATAAATGGAAAAATATTCAGTTTATAACTAATGTTTATAACTGGTGGTAAAATGTCCTATATCATTTCTAAACTATGTCAAATTTAAGATTTCCCAGTAATAACATGAGGTAGGTTTTTCTAAAACTGTGACATGTTCACAAACTCACCCAAGCTCGTATAATAAATATAGACATTAGGGGTGGGTGGAATTGTGCCTGCTGACCCATTACTTATGGTACAAACGTTAACAGGATTTGGAAAAAAAGAGAGTGGAAGAGAAGAGTGTGAAAAGATGGAGAAAGAAAGCATAATTACATTCTTTGAAAGGATAGTATGCATTTGATAGAGCAATCAATTCTAAACTCTTATTAGAACTTGTCTAAAGAACATATTGTATTCTATATACCACTTTTTTTTCAGGCACTCATTTTGTACTTTAGCCCTCTGCCCATAAATAAAAGACAATATGGATCAACTGAGAATGTTCAAGGTTTTAAGGATTGTTACGTCTGTCTTAAGCTTCTGCAAACTTAAGACAATGCACCATTTCACCCTTCAGTTCCTCCAAACCACAAATTAACACGAAAAAAACCTTTACATTCAAAATTGCAGCATGGGAGATTGCTGACTCTAGCCACACAGTTACAAGTTGCCAACTCCTAATTAGACCAGGAGTGTGGAACTTAAGTCTTATCCAGGGATTGCTGAACTACAATTCCCAGCAATCCTAAAGGCATGGCCAGTGATGAGAGTTAATAAAAATTGTAGTTCTACAATTTTAAAATTGTAGTTCTAGACAAACATATGTTCTCCATTCCAGACTTAAATTATGGTTTAGAAGATGGGAAAAGCTCTAGCAAAACATAGTGATGTGTAAAAACTTGACTGATCACACTTGCGAGAAATTTCTTTTTTAAAAAAAACTTTCAACTGACAAGCATTTTATCAGTTTCATTTTCATAAATTTCACTCCTGAAAGTTTAAACAAGAATCCTGCTAATTTGCCCATACCTTAGACTGGAAGTCTGCCTACCTTGAGTAAAGTGGAAAAGTGGGCCTTCCTATGAGCAAAACAGTGGTGGGATTCAATTTTTTTTACTACTGGTTCTGTGGGCATAGCTTGGTGGGCGTGGTGTGGCTTGGTGGGCATGGCTTGGTGGGTGTGGCAAGGGAAGGATACTGTAAAATCTCCATTCCCGCCCCACTCCAGGGAGGTTACTGCAAAAGTCCATTCCTTCTCCACCCCACTAACCTGCTTTCCAGCTCTGTTCTCCTGTGCAGGGCAACAAAAGTAGACCCAGCTGATCAGCTGGGACTTGGGAGGCAGAGAATAGATGGGAGCGGGATCAGTCACAGGTGGTATTTGCCGGTTCTCCAAACTACTCAAAATTTCCACTACCGGTTCTCCAGAACTGGTCAGAACCTGGTGAATACCACCTCTGGCCTAAAACAATTATTTTCATTATTTATTGGTAAACTATAATGTTTGACTACAAGGTTAACATTGTCACTATAACTTCATCATAACTATCATTATCTCCCTGATTTCTACACTCAGTTGTTTCCAATCTATTCTCCACTGTCAAGACTTAAATCATTTCAGAGTGTATTTGAAATACAACATAATAACGGTGACATAAATATTTGTTAGTCTATCTTCCTCTTTTCTCAGATATAGCAGGTGATAAATAGTTTTAATAGCAAAATGAGTATAATGGAGTAACCAATCTTTTCATTCCCATTTCCTTGATCTATGACCCAGTAACTACAATCTGATTGACTTCCAAAGTAAAAGGCAAAAAATAGTTTGGTTAATGAAGCTCATAAGGTTTATAAGGCTTATGTTTGCTAATATTATTTTATATTATTTAATTAAACAGTAAAATTTGACTCATCTGCTTTCTATTTTATATGAGTCATTACATGCAATTTAGCCATAGCAAACTAGAAAAAAGTTATCTAACCTTCATGTCTTAATGTTGTTGTAATAATGCTATTTAATCATTGTAATGAAACCTTGATCTTCATGCCTTGTTACTTTACCTATGAATACCTACTTTTAAAAAAAAATTAATGTTCAATACATATAAACAGGTGAGAGTATATGTTTACAAATCTCTCAAATATATATACATTTCTATACAGTATATCAGAAACTGATCCAGATATATTCTGATTATGAACCTATAGTAGCTGAAATTAAAACTTGTATGAAGGCTGGAAGTGGAATAAATGTTATGAATTCTAAAACATACCTAAATAATTTTCAAGCCAAGCAAATAAAATTACAATTTTCTCCAAAATGTAGAAAAACTATTAAAAAGTCACTTGACATAGGAAAGAAATATATCTAGAATATCATAACAGTAATTTATAGAGTGCTTAGCTTAAAAGATATATTTCATAATATCATTCTTCAGAAAAACCATTTTCAACTATTTTTCCTTTATCAACAACATTTAAAAGGTGAATAGATAAATCAGTGGAATTTTAAATTAAGCCATGTGATTACACTTCCTTTTAAATGGCACCATGAATCAGTATGTGTAAAGAAAATGAAAGTATGTGTTCAAACAAAAGGTAGAGAAAAAACTCCCTGTGATACTGCCGGTTATTCTTTTGCAGAGGAATATTTGATGCACTGCAAGCACACTAATAAACAACAGCATTTAATCTGCAGTTTCTTTCCTAGGAGACAATTTTGTAATTTGCTGCTGTCAATAATATATTAATCACAAGGGAGGGGTAATGATATTTCACATTTGGTACAATATTTTTCTTAAAACTGATTTGGGAAAAGGGATTTTGTTAAAAAATAGTCAAATGATGATAACAGGCAGCTTATCTAAAACATTCAATTTTTTGCATGATGTGAACTACAACAAATAAATTGGTAGTAAGCGGATATATAATTACTAAACTAAACCAACTAAAACAAAATAATTAGTACTACTATTAAACAACTATTATTTCACCTATGATCTATCTATCTATCTATCTATCTATCTATCTATCTATCTATCTATCTATCTATCTATCATCTGTTTTTCTTTCTCAATACTTGTCATTGGGCCCTTTGGAAAATATGTAAGAACTAATATAACATAATATAATGCTAGACTCCTGAATGTTTAGAATATTACTGATTGCATCATTTGCTGAAAAGATTATGTCCTATCTTGCTTCTCTTCTTCCTCTT